CAAAAGGGGAGACATCAAGATACTTTATTTGTCTTAGAACAAACAATACTAGTCATTCAAAAGACACCTTTACACCACTAATGTGTACTAGGACTGGCCTAAGGGCTCAATGAGCGGCATGGAAGCGTCTTTTCTTACAACACCCCGGGAGAGAAAGTCAGCCGTAAGCGGCTAAATGTGAAAGCATGCTTTGCTAGTTAATGAATAAAACGTTGAGAAGATGCTCGCAAGCAGCCATGACCACGCCCGTCAATAGAATCTTGAGGTGAGCGGCCACAGTGCGGATCTGCGATTCTGAATCTCCTTTGGACAGAAAGCTTTTCAGGGATACCCACCCGTCCCACGCAAGAAGCCACAGAAGCGTGAATATTCTGTGCTGTGAAAGGTGGTAGCTCATCCTCAAAAGCTTCTCTTCACGCAACACTGCCCGTTCAGCACCGGCGCCGAGGCCACTTAGACGGCGAAATCGACTGAACGCAAAAAACAGCACACAGAAAATCGAGGCACAAAAGAGGCCGTGAAAACGATGCTCCTTTATGATCCGAGAACCGGGCGGGGGTGGGGGTCCTGAGCGGCCTGGGCCCGCGCGTCAGCCCTCCTGAGGGTGTCAGTCTGGCGGTCACAGTCGATTTGGCAAGCCACTCACTTGGAACCGTGAGGCTGAGAAGGAGAATTGATGGCTCACTTAAGGGGAGGTCCGCCCACGTCCCGTCCCAGTGCCGACTTTCCACCTGGAGGCAGGCCGGCCCGACTTCTGCAGGAACCAACCTCTCCTCAGCGGACTTGGATGTTAGGTTCTGGGAGGCTCCTCTCAGCTCCGAGGTGTGAAAGCGCTGGAACAGTTCTAGATGACGGGTAAAGCAGTGAAAAGAAAACTAGAATGGCGATTTCTTCTTTGCCAAACTGGCTGACTGTGAAGTAACATTGTGAGGATGTTCCTACTTAACTCCTGGCATAAAGTGGTGGAAAAAAATCGCAAAGGACTTGAGATTTCGCTTCAAACAACAAGTAGAAGCGCGCCAGCGCCAGCTCTGTGAGACTGGGTGACCTGGAGTCTGCAGCCCTGGGCTTTTCTCCCCTCCGATGAAAGCAGCCTCTGTGGCCGCCCCTTCCGTCCCTTGGACGGGTTGGCCAGTGTGACTATGTTGTGCCTGGACTCCTTAGAACTCGCACGCGCACACACGATCACACACGCACACACGATCACACACGCTGAGTTCTCGTTCACAGGCTTCTGATGATCTCAGAAGGTCACAGGCACATCTGACTTTTTACTTCTCTTGTTTTGCCACACAAAATATTTCTCCTCTTCAAGTTTCATTGTTTTGCCACGGCTTTTCCAAAAAAATCCCAAACTTATAGAAAATGTCCAGATAGTCTACGAGGATTACCTTTGTGCCCAATTAGAAATTACCGGAACGTGATCACCTGAGAGTTACATTTGGGTCACACTGAGCCCTGATGTACATGAGTTAGGAGGCCCTCACAGTTTGGATAAATTAATTCTTTGTACTGAAACTTCCTCCGGTATTGCAAGGATAAACCCACAAAGGGAGGCCCAAGTGCAGTGCTTCATTTGTTCAAAAATATGTGTTTTCCGGGTAAGATTCTGTGCATTTCCTTAAAATTGAATAAAATCCGAGGATACAAATGCTTCCACCAAGTGGCAGAGGTAGTGTCTGGCCTCCCCGTTCAGGTCTGGCAGAGCCTCGACCACTATCCTGGGATCCAATATACACATGGAATTTTATTATGGAAAAATATGTAACAGTCACACATTTCTGTTCAATGTTCAACCTACTGTGATTTCAAGTATAGGTTATTAATTCACATAAATGAGCGTCCATGTTCCTGAAACTGTGTCAAACTGAAGTGTAATACTGCTTTGCATTTGAGTACTACTTTGCAAACTTTTAAAGAGTATTTCTGTTTTCTCCTTTATACTGACAACAGTTGAGAGAGAAAAATTATTTTTTTCAATTTTTTTTCCCTCACTCAAAGCCTAAAGCAGGAGAAGGGACTTCAAGATCCCAGCAGCAGTTATTGGGAAAAGTGAGACAGACCAGCTCTCCTGACAGCAAACTCCTGTTCCAGACAGAAAACAGCTGACGCTTTCAGTGTCAGTGAGCGCCGAAGGGGCTGGGACCCAAGTCAATCCCAAACGCCTCTGGGTGTCAAGGAGTCAGTGATCTAGAAGTGAACATTCTGGCGTTCTGGGGTGTCTGTGGGCTATCTGATCACACATGACGTCCACCTGCTTCCCACTGAGGGTTTTGCAGAGATCAGGCTTTCCTGTGGTAGCTGATGCCGGGAGGGTCTGAGCCTGTGGCTTGTGCTCCGTTATCGGCAACATGGTACACAGTCGTCTCCGATTACTGCTTTAATAGACACACACACCAAATCCTATTCAACCCAAGTGTCATACTTGATGGAAAACATGTAGTCCTGAACCATTCAAAGGCAGAGCGACAGAAGGCTCATCACCGCTCCTCCACGCGCCGGCTCTACCTCTAGTAATTCTCACTTCACTCCTTTTCCACGGCATCTTCAAACGTTGTAGGGCAGTGATCCTAACTTCGTTCTTTTTCTGACACAGAGGATCTCCCTTGTTCATAGAACCTACACAAAACAGTGCGCCACGCCCAAGAAATATGAACACCTGTGGCAGACAGCAGCGTAAAGCAGCCGTGCTTAAAGCCCTCGTTTCCAAAAATGACTCCCGTGGTCAGGAGGAGCACACTTTAAAACCCTGTCCTGTTGACTGGGACTGTAAAGGTTTCACAAAGGAGCATAAGTGAGAAGAAAAGATGGGAGCGGATATGGCTGCAGGATTCCCCAGTAGCAAGGCCCCTGGAATTCCAGCTGTGGGAGGGACCTGGGCATGAGAAGCAGTAAAGGAGCTTCCAGAAACAATCCAACCGAAGCACCCCAGGGGCCAGAGGGGCTCTGCGCTCTTTCCACCAAGGAATTCCACAGCCATGATGCAAACAGAGGAAAACCTGCACCCACAAAGGCATTTAGACAACAGGCACAGAAAGACACTGTGAAGCGTGCTCACCTATGTGGGTCTGGGCCATGACCTCCGCCAGCCTGTGGGCAGCCCCGCTGCCCCCGCTCTGCATAGAGGACGAGGAGGTGGAGGTGGAGGTGGTGGTGGACGTGGTGGAGCCATGGATGGCCTGACTGATCCAGTGCTCCATGTTGATGCAACCCTGGCTGGAGGTCGGGGTGCCTTGCGAGTCCCCCTGCACTGAGCCTTCGTCTTCTGAGCCAGAAGAGGTATCTGTGTAAGAAGAAAAACAATTTGCTATATATTGCAGCAGAAACATGCACCAAAATCTCAGTCCTTCAAACACAGATTTACTTCACGTAAGTCTGAACCGTGGTTCAATGACTTTTTGCTGTAGACACTGTTGAGAATTTAAACCACTTTTCAGGCAATGAACCATTTATTTTAGCATAATGAATTTTGCTTCCAAAACACCTTAAACAAACATGCTATAAGATGATTGATATTGTCATCTCAAAGATGCACTGACACATTTCCTCTACACAGTAGTTTGGGAACAAACCAAGTGTTTTCTTGTGTCAGCCAGAAAGTGAGAGGGCAAGGGGAGGCGGAGGGCCTGTGTGGCTCTCAGGAGTCTCAGTGTGACTATGTTTACCCCTTGTTAGTCCTGAGATGCCCTTCTGGGCTCTGATTTATTTCTACATTAGTGTATGTGTTAGATACTCATGCAGGTGATTTCTCCGTCTCTGTGTTAGTTACCCATACAGCTGATTTATTTGTATGTCGGTGTGTTAGATACCCATGCGCCTGATTTATTTCTACATCGGTGTGTTAGATGCCCATGCAGCTGATTTATTTCTACATCAGTGTGCTGGATACCCATGCAGCTGATTTATTTCTACATCGGTGTGTTAGATATCCATGCAAGTGATTTCTGCGACAGTGTGTTCGATACCCATGAGGGTGATGGATTTCTACGTCGGTGTGTTCGATACCCATGCAGCTCTCTAAGGATCAAGACGCTGATGATGGTAACAGGAGAGAAAGCAGAATGTGCCTCACATGGAGCGGCCCCTCCACCTCCCTGTTTTCCTCCGGGGCACACGACATACCCTCATGTCACATTTTACACTCTACTCACTTTTGCAGAATTCGTTTCTTATACATTCTCATTATCGATTTTTCTATCTACAAATTGGGTATCTTGGATTATGATAAAATACATCCATTTTTTCACTCTAATTCAGGAGAACATTTTCCATTTAATAACTTTTCATGCAGTACCAAAGTTTTTGGGAATAAATTGCTGGTGTATTTGTTAAACTTCAACGGAAGAATGACACTCAGAATCCTACCTACAGGTGAGTGATGGGAGGTGCTGGCTCAGGTGAGCAGCTCCAGATCATTGGGTGAGAGGAGGAGTCACAGCAAATAAGCTTAAGACACAGGTTTGCTTCTTAAAAGACAGTAATAGCAAACAATATTCACACTTATTACCACTGTTACATGACTTATGCTGTCTGGGAAATTTTTTAAAAGTTTACTTGTTAGACAAGCAACAATATTAGGAGCCTGAAAATTCTCTATCACCTTGCTTTTTTTTCTTTTGAGACAGAGTCTTGCTCTGTTGCCCAGGGTGGAGTGCAGTGGCATGATCTCAGTTTCCTATTCATAGCCATTTGTATATATTGGTAAAATGTTCAGATTTTTGCTCACGTTTTAAATGGTTGGTTGTCGTCTTATAGGTTTTAGGTGCCTTAAT